CTAATAAATCCAAAATAACATCCTTTACTTACCAACAATGCTGTTACTATGATAATCATAGCTGCACACCATAGGATCAATTAAATGAATATTTCCGTTTCTATCCTTTAGCCTTAATTCCCTCTTATCAATTATCTCCATTCGTTCTCCTCTGTAATTCACGTAACGATCGCGCCAATCGTATGTATAAAAACGGTCAGCTGCCGTAAAGTAGTGTTCAAAAAATTGAAGCGGTGTTACTTCTACACCGGTAACATCCCTCAACGTTTTGTAATTCGCAATGTTGCCACTGTACTGCCCATCACACGTTGCCTCTTTATTATCCTCAGTGCACCACTCATCCATACTAATGCCAGTGCATTTATCGCAGCCTATCGTACAAGTGCACGTATACCCAAGATTAACACCTACGCCTACAACCGCATACTCTCCAATAACATCAATCAAAGCTCCACACACCTTGTGATACGTTTCACCGTTTCTTACCAGAACATCATTCGGCCACTTGCACAGTGCATCTACGCCTTGATCTACCAACACGTGCCTAACTCTTCCTATTACATCTATGTATGCAACATGTGCATGCGTAACGTACGAGAATGAAAGTGTGTGGATGAGAGACTGCCATGTGCTGTTGGTACGGCCTACACCACGTGTTTGGTGCATGGTTGCTATCACAGGGTACGTGTCTTTGTATGTTGATGTACTGTTGATCAGATGTTTTTGAGTGGATGAAATTGTTTTGAACCATTTTATCTTCATAGGGGGACAATGGTGAAATTAGTTGTAGATGTTTCTAACAGGTGAAAAGTACGTGTCAAATGCTAAAACAGTTGATTTGGTTTATGAAGGAGTGATAAGTGATGATTAAACGGACCTGCAAGTACGAGGGAAATGCGAAAAAAGTTGATTTGGTTTATGAAGGAGTGATAAGTGATGATTAAACGGACCTGCAAGTACGAGGGAAATGCTAAAAGAGTTGATTTGATTTATGAAGGAGTGATAAGTGATGATTAAACGGACCTGCAAGTATGTGAGAAACGTTATGAATTAATGAATGATAAGGCCATGTTAAACGTGTATGAGAGTTTTTTGAATGAATTGATGTATGTACAGTGTATAATTAATAAAATTTTCAAAAAGATGAAAAATAATGATAAAAAACGTTTACTCAATGGTTATCAAGGCATATTAGGTGCTCAGCATACACGAAAAATTCTTTTTGTACGCGTTTGAAGCGTGAAGTGTTGATTAAACTGATTTTAAAAAATTAAAAACGATTGTGATTATCAATATATTTATGATCGTGCCTAGTAACCACTATAATATTTATAATGAATTATAATAACAATATAGTAACGGTGATTTAATTATCATAATTAATTCAATTATAGTTATTTCGTGATAATTACGTAAATTTATGACTTCTTGTTCGATTAGGGCAACTGTGATTCAATATTAGATGAGCAAAAAATACGTTTTTATAATCCTGACCAGTTGTTCACACGTATTGATAATAGATGTGTTATCAATTTAAGATTCCTTTTATTAAAGGTATTAAGGTTGAATGCTGTCATGTTAATTGATAGGACCAATAATATCATAATCTAAGGATGAAATTAATACAACATAAAAATCATACTATCCTAGATATAGCACAGAAATGATTTTATAGTAAATAAAAAAAGATCTTTAACTAGGTGTTAATAGCTTGTGTTAACCAAAGGAAGGGGTAATATATACTATATGAGTATAATATGTGTGATACACGCTAATTATAGGAGTATAATATTCTATACATCGAGCAGGTACTCGTTCCACATACCTAAAAAGTTATGTATATTTTATAATATTATATAACACTAAAATAGAGCACGTATCAGGTGGTGTTGTCTAGTGGTATGATGTCTGCTTAGGGTGCAGGAGGCCCTGGGTTCGAATCCCAGCACCGCCCTTTTTGTTGATACGATGATATTAATTAAGTAGCTGCTGCTCGCTCGTTTCCAACTTTACACAACAATCACCCTACAGTGATTAAAATACGCATACACTCTTTAAAATGTGATGTAAATAGCTTTGCATCCGGTTGATGAACCTAAATTATATAAATTTGCATGAAATAGTTATTTAGATATCACTCCACACGTAAAACAAGGGGTAACGTGTATTATCAAGCTATTTCTTTAACGTTACTTTATTATTCATACTTAGAGCTACTGTGAAAATGTTGCTATTGCCTTATAATTAATCTTAACGCCCCTTAACGATTGGCAAAAACTACGATAAAATGCTTATGATAACCTAATAAACAGGAATAAGCAGTTCATATTTCTAAGTAAGAATAATCGTTTGATTAAAACAATGATAACATTAATTTTACTTACAATCAGGGTAAAAATACTATATCACTCATGAGAAGCTCATCAATCACGATTATTTATCTCTCAGATCAGCAAACTACCAACCACTATTTTAATATTAATTCTACAGTTGTGCGTCCGGCCTGACCACGTTCATAAAAAATTATCAAAAAATTTTTTACCCTACCAATGGGAATATCGCGCAGCAACGCACACAAAAGAAAAGCGACCGGCGGCAAGAAGCGCACACACGAAAAGAAGCGAAAGCACAACAGTGGCAGAGCACCATCAAACACCAAAATAGGCCCTACCAAGGTGAAGGCTATGCGTGTACGTGGCGGCAACATAAAACGGCGTGCTCTGCGGCTAAATAGCGGCTCGTTTACCTGCAAGTCACATAATATCACCAAGCCGTGCGCAATCGTGCAGGTGATGTACCATCCGACCAATAATGAATTGATGAGGACCAATACGCTTACTCGTTCGGCTATTGTTAAGGTTGATGGGACTGGATTTAAGGAGGTGCTTGGTGGTGAGGAAGGATTTAAGGAAGGTGCGTACTATGCTCGTATTACGTCGAGACCAGGACAGGATGGCGTGGCTGATGGGTACTTGTTGGAAGGAGCTGAACTGCAGTTTTATATGGATAAGTTTAAAAAAAGGAAAGGAGAATAAATGACATTGGTTTATTTTTACTTGTTTGTTGCCTGGTTTAACATCTTTGCTGGTCATAGATTTGTTTTATTGCGTGCAGCTGTTCGTTGATTGTTCAAGTACAATTTCTCTGTTTTTAATCGTTTTCGCAGTATTTCTAGTCAATGTTCAAAATGCTTGTACAGATCTACTAATTTTTATGTACCGCACTTAGGAGATTGCCGTTTTACAATGAATGCACTTTGTAAAATCAGTGGCTGATTTTATTAATTAAGGTTTTTGTTTGGTGTGTGAGGAAAGGTGAGGTGTTAATTAAACGAACTTTCAAGCAAAAAAGGAAGATTTTCTTTGTTTTCGGCGTATTATTACGTTAGACATACAGGAAGGTAGAAATTAAATTGCTTAAAATTAGCAACAATTATTAACTCGTTCATCTAAAATACAGAAACTATAAAATTACGTTAATTGTTTTGATAACAACGATTGTAAATTTACTATGATGTATTTGCAGTTAAATGTCATTTAAATGATGAATTGTTCTGCAAAAGTAAACGTGTGTAGCAGAGAAGAAAAATAAATTAACTGTAACACTTTTTATTTTGTGGTGCTGTAGTCCATCCTAGCACTTGATCGTTTGCATTCTACGAGCTGCCCCTACAACTGCTGCACCCTGCGCCACCGCATCGGCTGCAGCCTCCTCTACAACTGCTGCATCCGGCACCACCGCATCGGCCGCAGCATCCTCTACAACTGCTGCATCCCGACCCGCCACATCGGCAGCAACAATACCTTCTATAACCGCAACAACCGCCTCTCCTACAACAACCACATCCCTGCTGTCCCGCACCACCGTTTTGCCCACCACTGCCGTAATATCCAAAACCGTGTACTAGGTTGAACAGGCACTCTAAAACAATCATAAGGTTGAACAGATTCAATTTCTTCATGTTAGTACACAATGCTCGCTCTTTTATACTTTGCTATTACTCCTTTTGATAACTTATGGTTATATATAATAGACATAAGTGTCATCTTACGTGCATATGATCATATTCTTATATGTACGCCGTTTTTTGAACGATCTTCCGTTGATCTAATTTGCTATTGCTATCACTGCTAGTCCATGTCAATACGGTGTGATTTATTTTATAGGAATGATTGTAGTTTTTCACATTTCCTAACTTTATCTTTGGTGTATAAAACAGTTCATTAAATCTCTACGTAAAAATCTGATCAAATTACAGGGATATATCCCCAATCCGGTGCGTTATGAATCATTTTTGGTCACATCAACGTAAATTATTTGATACACTAGAAATCAATAAATAAATTTATTGGTATGTTGTTTATTAATGAATCAGAATGAAAGCGATAAATTTGTAATGAAATGCTAATGTATTATAACGGTTGAAATTATTATCCTCATGTCAATATTTAACGAAATGTTCCTGTTCAACAGTAATGTTGATTATATTCGTACACCAATTGTATTTTATAGCTTGTTTTTAACTACCGGTGGTACGTAATCGTTCATTTCATCAATACCTCCTTTTTATTTCCTGATCGGTAACATATTACGGCGTGATTTTAAATGACACTTGATAAACATGACATTATACTCTACCAATCCTTTTAGTAAGTATA